ATTTTATTAAAGGGGGATCTGGTCTATTACTGTATCATCTGGATGATATCGAGGTGGTATTGTCTACGAAACGATAAAAGAAAATAGAAATGATTCACCATTAGCACTTTTTTTAATTTTGTATTTCAAAAGGTAGTACTAGAAATATTAAGGACATTGCCTTCGATCTAGATAAATAATTCTAGAGAACAACAGCATGTTTTCTTTGCAACTGGTACCCCCTTTCCATGAACAAGGTACGGAGTAACCTATTACAAACAAATCACCGTTTGTGTTTGTATGCTATGTATTTCTTGAGGTGATGTAAGGCTTATTGTAATAAGATGGAGTCCTTCTTATTGTTGTAATATTACAGTATGTGTAAGATTTAACAAACAGGACGTTTATTGTTTTTTTTTTATTTATATCATTATAGTATCTTCCACATGTTTTTTTTTTATTAAGTGCTACTTTAATAGAATTTAAGGATATTGTACTGTACATATAAAATTAAGAAGATGTGGTATGGCTAATGAGACAACTCTCCACCAGAGACATAAGAACGTAAAGTTAGTAACTATATAGGTCACCGACAACACGAATGTAATATTAAAGAACCGTTTGATTGAAAGCAAGACAAACGTATTCTACAGACAAAAAATTAAAAGAATAAATTTTAATCGCATTTATTTAAAATCATAAAAAATGCAATTTCTATTTCCTGTTTTTTTATTAAAATTTGCATATTTAAAATGGAAAACCTGGATTTTTTATAGAACATAGATAATACAATTAATATTGTTGTAAAGAATGTTGCCTTTTATTTTTCATTGAACAGTTACAAGTGTTAAATCAAACTCACAAGAATATAACAAACAAATCGACCAGATATCAGGCAAAGATAGCTTTCGGAATGTTAAAAATACTTTTTTTAAAATGCTATTCTTAACGAAATGCTGAATCATATCCTTGAACAATGAACACACTATTTGACCTGTTTTATTGTAAGCAGTCCAACAGATTATTTTTACACTAACCGTTCGATTAGTGTTATTGGTACTGTAGAGATTTTTGTCATGGTTATTCTGTTGAAAATTTCTAAAATGAGTTGATAGTCATAATATTCATAACATGGACATTTTTTTTTGTGTTGAATGCTTCCAACTGACAAACCTTTTCCAAAAGTAGTTAAAATCTTTAATTCTGACCAGTTTCCTTCAATCAAGTAGAGTGTGTTTCTATGAATTGACGAAGTCACAGTAACATATAGGACTCAAGAATACAAATTTTTGGAAGACTTGTATATCCAGACGGGTCGCAGTAACCATTTGTTGATTTTATGTAATATGTGTCCTTATATCCCTTGTCTAGTTTAGAAAAATCTCCCAGTGAATTGTTTGAGGTTGAACAGATATCAATGGGGCAAAAAAAACTCAAGTCGATAAAAGCAGCACTACGGACAAAGAAAACTTGAGAAAAAGCAAATCCACAAAAAAAAACCCAGAAGAAAAGATTAAGGATTTTTACACAAAAAATACGATCTTAAGGTTTTCCGGAAGTGTAGACAGTTCCTGGAATCCTTTCAAATTCTTAGGTTTTCAATTTATCATTCAGCCATTTATAACTTTAATATTTGGTTTCATGAACCTCATATGAGTTAGGATGTGCATACTCGAAACAAGTGAAGTTCATTCATGGATCTACTTTCAAAAATAAGGAAATGTATTTTATCGACAGTGAAATCTTCTTCTAAAGGAAGTATAGTATTGTTTCTTTCTATGATATATGTGAAGGTCATTTTGTTTATCTAAGACAGATATTAAAAACAAATATATATTTAACAAACAATACTTACCGTTATAAGATCAGCCTCTTTTTACTTTGGGCTTAACTCTCTAATTTTCCGTTAATCCTTTAAAACGTTTAATATTTATATGAAGGCTTTAATATATTGTGATGGATTATCAAATCCCTTTTTATATAATTACGGGGGTGTTTAACGACATTAACCAGAAGCGGATTTAGGGGGCAGGACCCCCCCCCCCCACTTAAGGAGTTACATATATGGTTAATGCATATATATACTTTGTATATGTCCTACTCTTAACGTTGCTTAGTTTCTCAAAATCCTGTATCCGCATCTGTCGACTACACATGAGGGTCTCGCAAGTCGCCTTTTTTATAACGTGAAGTGTAGAATAAAATATAAATTTAGCAGGGGAGTTTCACAAAATTTTACAACTTCTCTATGACTAAAGACGATTTAAAGCTACACATTAATTGTATAGACAACGGTCAATTGTTGAAGATCGCAAATATTTACCTCTAGATAAACGTTTTTGTATTCGGTTGCTTTTTCAAAACCACATCTGTTTTTATTTATAACCAAGGATTTATATAGTTCTATATAAATACTAATTATCAGGCGCGGATCCAAGATTTGATGTTTAAAGGATGGGGGTGCTCCTGAGAAGTAGGGAGTTAGAGGACCATATTTAAAAAAAAATTGGCTGTAATTTTACCTATAAATATTATTTTTTTATGGAAAGGGGAAGGGTGCGCCCCCGTCTGAATCTGCGCCTGATTATAACTATGTGCATTTAAAATGTGAATAAATCACGAAAATTTCTTTCAAATGACTTTGGCAAATTTTCAAGCTGCAGGTGTATAGAAAAATTAAACGTGTTTTATGGTATGCTGATAAACAGCAAAAAACACCAACATAAACAAACAAACAAAAACCGTGGATTGAAAAAAAAATGGATATCAAATAGATGATCACGTGATGACAAATTATAACTAGGATCAGGGCCCGTATGCATAAAACCACTTAAGTTAAGAAATCCAATCGTAGTACTAATTTATCGTAGGACATGTAGAAAAACCCGTCCGTTCGGAACAAATCCTAACTTAAGTAGCTTTATGCGCACGAGACCTGATACCAAAAAAAACACGACAAAGCTATTATTACAGTATTACACTTATTTGATACTTAGAATAGTAATTTTAGATAATGTTAATATAATTTAAAAAAAAAAGAAATATTTGAAGAAGAAACAGTTGATATTATCATATAAATAGTTATTGATGGCTAAAGGATTATAGATAATAGAACACTTATACTTTATTGATATATAAGCATTTACCTAGCAGTATTCTCAAGTATCAAAATTAGAACAACCAGTATTTTATAAAAATTACCAATAATGCTGGTAAAATAAATTGCGGAGGTTTGAGTATATTTATAATGATGGGAAATTTAATATAAAATTGAAAGAGCAATACTCTAAATGTATGATTGAGATACAGAAAGTTATGTAGGAATCAAATATATGGACTTCAATAGCATCCCTTTGTTCACTAATATTTTGAATAGATAAGCAACTAAATATATAAACACCCCCTTTGTTGGAGATAGAAAACACTACTGCACATTATTTTAGACAGTATTTCCTTTGTTTCTATTAGAGACAGACCATAATTTTTTTGAATTCTGCAATGCATGATGTGCTATCAATTACTCATGGATTGAGTTTAGAGTTCAAATTATGCCGAAAAAAATAAGCTTAGCATTACTTAAATGATTTTGATAAAAAAAAATTTAGAGCGAAAAATATCTGAAAAAAGTGGAGATACAATGGTTTTCTAATCTTTCGGTGTGTTACTAGATGAGTAAGCTACATTATAATTCAATGGGAAGTGTGTAGACATAACAGTATAATTTTGACAATTCGTAGAATGTAAACATTTTCATATTATTGCACATGAATCTCAAATATATATATTTATCTTCATTTTTACAAAAAGTGGACATAAAACACTATAAGACTCTCGGGTTGTTAAAACACTGGCTCGAATACTGTAAAATCTTGAAAAAATTCTTGAACAATCGCAATAAATGAAAAATATTTCTAACTGAGAAAAATACATAGAAGGTAACAGAAGATTATATAGACAGGCTATTTAAATATAAAATGTTCTGAAAATATGCGAAAACATTTTAAGATTGGTCATATTTAGTGTAAATAAAAATAAGAGACTTTATAAATTGTGTTTCATACATGCACTAGTTTCCAAAAGTTGTCAAATACCCGGGCACAACAAGTTATTACAGTTCATGGTTAAAAAAAACCAAAACTATATGAATTGATGGAAAATCATTGTTATAAATTTGGGATGTTGGAATATATTTACCCAAGATTGAAAACCCACTCAAGTTGTAAAATGGCGATACATAGAGGAAAAGTATGGCGATACATAGAGGAAAAGTCTACAAATGTAATCGCTCATGAACTAGCTGGAAATAAAGAAGCATTAAAAAAACAAAACAAAACAAATCAAATTAATAGAAATAGAAGAACAAATGAGTTAAATAAATGATTTGGGTTTGATTAGAAATATTTATCAATCTAAAATATGCGCTTTTAGATTTAAAGTTAGTTATATTTTAAGCAGTTTTCTCTTTGCATATTATTTATTAATTTGAAATGTCTTCAAGACAAGGATCTATGTAGTATATACTATAAACATCCTTGTGTTAGGTCGTCCTAAATATGCATGGACGTTAAACAACCAACAATCAATCAATCATCCTTATTTAATTAAGGCAATCTTTTCCCATTAAATGATCGATTTTAGAACTCGTATTGACCCTCAAACTGTATGTATCGATATTACTTGAAATTTTAAAAACTGTGATTATCGATTCTTAATTTGAAATCAAAACATAAACTTCAGCTATAAATAAATCCAATTTTAATATTGATATGAAATAAATATTATACGTATCACTAAAAATAAAACAAATATATCCTGTAGATTAAATTTCCAATGTCTATGTAAAGATTTAAATCAAACTGAATTAATTGTAAATTTATTATACTGTGTAGTTATATATTACAGTTTCAATTTATCGAATATGTTGATTATAGCAAAAAACAAGAACCATTTACATAAAATAAATTGATAGTTTAACAAGGTCTTTATATCCCACAATCCAAATCATACAAGCCTAACGCACATGCGTAAATACAGTATTTGTCGTGTCCTCGCCAGGAAGAGAAAATACACATGTTTACCTGGTGTGTATTTCAGAAACTTCACATGTAAGTATAGATCAAAGTAAGTAATCGTATAATTTGAAAAGTAATCACTATTGGTATAAAATAAGAAGACTAAATTGAAAGGGGAAACTATTTATTTAGGTTACAAGGATGTGTCACATGGTTTATAAATAGGTAGTTTCAGAGGGCATTTAATGGTAAAAAGTAAAAGTAAAAAATCATATATATTTCAATGAAAAAAAGTTTATCTGCCATATATATAATGTTTAAAATAACTTATTTAAATAAAATAAAATAAAATAGACAATTGAAAATCAATTAATGATTGTACATAATTCTTTTTCAGTGGAATACGATATGCAGTAACAACAAAATGTCTTCTAACAAGATATTAGTAGAAGCTGTTCGAACTTTAACCAGAGGACAAGAAGATGCCGAAGCTGACATTGAAAACAACAAGAAAGGGGTGACAGTCAGTGACATAGAGAGATGGCTAGTGACACAGAAATATTACTTAACTAAAGACGAGTTTAAGTGTCCTCTGCATGTTAGTTTGCAGAAAGAAGTAAGCGCGGGAAGACTCGAGAAGCTGACGTCTGGAACATATGTACTTTCAGTCCAGCAGATCAGCAAGGATAAAGCTATGGCGATAAAACAAAAGGCTCTACTGAAAAGAAGTATATCAACTCCTGGAAAAAGGGGGAGACCATCGAAGAAAAAGGTATACAACAGGAAATAATTTTTGGGAAATTCGCATGCAGTATTTACATGTATTTAGTAATGACGGTTTTAACATGGGTGGTTGTATAATTTTTTATAGTGTTATACGAGAATTGGAATAACAACCATGTAAAAAAATCAATGTTAAATTATACATAATTCATTAGCAGCTCGTGTTTTCGTTTAACTGGTTTAGTCTGGTTGTTTATCAAACTGTCAGTTTGAATTTTGTCGTATTAGACGCTCGTTGATTTTGAAAATATTGTAAATCGAATTGCAATTTGTTGTCTTAAAATTATACAGCAACTTAATAAGAATTCGTTTTGTTGGTAAATGTCTACGTCTTTTTAGGCTTCTCGCGATTTTAAATTCTGGTATTATTTGTACTTATATTTGGATTTTCTCATATTGGAGGAATCTTTCTTTAATTTATTTTTACTCGATCTTTCCTTCGATTTTTTTATTAAATTTCCCCTTATCATTCGATATAATTACGTACCCATAGACATGATAGAAATCCAGCTACAAATGAAGGAATTAAATGCCTAATCGACTTTCTTGGAAATAACACTTCTATACAACAAATTTTAATCTAGTTGATGACTGTTGTGCAAATTTGTTCTCCGTAACTCGATAATTATGCAAGTTTCTGCTGTTTAGCCAACCTCAAAAATTCCCAATTCTAGAGTTCAAATTTCAATTGGAGGAATGTTTCTTTAATTTATTTTTACTCTTTCCTTTGTTTTTTTATTAGATTTTCCCTATGTTTCGATACAATTACGTACCCATAGACATGATAGAAATCCAGCTACAAATGAAGGAATTAAATGCCTAATAGACTTTCTTGGAAATAACATTTCTATACAACAAATTTTAATATAATTGATGACTGTTCTGCAAATTTGTTCTCCGTAACTCGATAATTATGCAAGTTTCTGCTGTTTAGCCAACCTCACAAATTCCAATTCTAGAGTTCAATTTCTCCTTTCAGTTACAATAAATCTTGTAAAATTAAACATTGTACTGCAAATGTGAAAACTGAAATGACTTAAAAAATAGAAATAAAAAATAAACTATTTATGTCAAATCCCGTTTTTGATTCATAAATTTAAGTTAAAATTTTTTGATTTTTATTGTTCGAAGTGAAAAATTTAAAACGGTACAATGCATCTTGAGATGTACAAAGAAGTGAAAACTTTAAAACCAAGTAAGAAATATTGAACCATCATTACCAGTTCGAAATTCAGGACCATCAAACGCATCATTTATAATATAAAACTTAATATGACCATGCATTGACGTCATTATAATACTTCCATGATACTAGACATATACAAATATCATAAAATTAATCTATGTGGAAATCGATTATTTGAGGAAAAATAATTTAAGTACTAATCCTGTTTTAAAATCCGTCCGTTTTCGATTGGAAATTTGGCACTTTGTTCAAACTGAATAAATAAAACTTTGATATGCATCTTTGTAATATAGAGAAAATAAAATAACATAAAAAACAAATTAAAAAAAATCTTATCCCTTTCCGTCTGAACTTTGGAATTCCAAACTATTTGTTACAAATCTACGATGACTTGACATGCACTTATAATCTTTCAAGACAGAACTAAATACGCTAAACATTGAAAAAGAGGTTTATTTCAAAATATTTTTTTTCAAAATCTGACAATTTAGGTTTAATATTTGGCAACCGTGTAAACATATTGAAAATTATAAATCTTTATTATACTTTAACAATAATATGCAGGGAAAACGTATATAAAATAAAGATAAAAAAAACGCCAACACCTGACTAATCCGAAAAAAATATATGCATAGAATCAAGGACAAACAAACTTGAACACGAACAATACATGGCCACGGTCCAGATTGCTTGGTACAGGCCCACAATATGGTTGTGGAAAAAAGGGGGGACAGGTTTTCCGTACACACGAATCTCTCTCCCTTTCCCTGTCTATACTGTATTTCGGAACATCTCTGCCTTTGCCTGTCTAGACCGTATGTCGGAACGCCTCTCCCTTTGTTGTCTAGACCGTATGTCGGAACCTCTCTCCCTTTGCCTGTCTAGACCTATGTCGGAACCTCTCTCCCTTTGCCATATCCAACTATAGCAGTCATCACGTGACATTGGCGACGTCACACATCATCCGTATCATGCCCAAGTAAAATGTATAGAAATGCACAGGGGCTTTCAGGAATCGATAAAATAAATTACTTTAAGTTCATGATAAAAAAAGTGTGGAAATATATAGTAATTCCTCATATATTTAAAAATATATTTATGCCTTTTAGAAAAGTTTAAATTTTGGTCTTCTCCCTTCCAAATGCTTTTGAAAATTCAGCTGTCTTGTTGCCTCGATAGTTCACACTGTTAAATCATCCAACTCCGATAAATATTGGATTTTCTGTCGTGTTAAACCTAAAATTGCGATTTAAACAAAACAGATGGAAAAATTGTGGAAATATGTGCTTATTACTATATTCATAAATATTTGAAATATCGTACATGCAATAGTTTAATTTTTTGTTTCGTCCCTTCCTAATTGATTTGAAAATTAGCTATTTTCAGAAAATCGGGTATTATTTTTCAAGATGGCGACCACATTGACAGCGTGGGCCGACTTGGTAAAAATTTATTTTGTAAGATTGTTACAATGAAAATCAAATAACTGTTGGATGCTCGCGTTTTCAGTCATTGTCTTACCTTAAAGCAGCATAGAATCAAACATTGGTTCCTTTTGATAAAGCTGATACATGCTGTTGTTTTTTATAAAAAATTAAAAAAATGGCGACCAAATAATTTTCAAACGTAGACGATGTTCGACACTTATTTTGTCCATGCAAATAATTCAATTTAATTTCACTGTTTATATTGCAATTAAATATGACACGTTATTGTCACTATAATGATAGCCAAGGACATAGCTAGACTAAGGAGATATTAAGTCATAACATCAACGTAATCAAAGAAAACAAACATGGCACCTAATCACGATGTAAGTTTTGACAATACCTATGTTGATTAGTGTTGTCAGATTCTCAATGAAATTCATTACGATATTATTTTATATCTATAAAAGAAGACCTCGAATGGATATTAACCGAGGTGAAATAACTATATTTTTCAATTTTCTTTAAACCATTCATCGGGTAACTAGTAAATTTTACATAATCCTAATTTAACCAGTAACATGCAGAGTTATCGAACGTAATTATGACTTGAATAGTTGCATATGCTGTCTAGACTGTATGTCGGAACCTCTCTCCCTTTGCCTGTCTAGACCGTATGTCGGAACAGTACAAGTATGATACATCCCATACATTTCTAGACTGAATTATTGTCGACGATTGATTGATTGATTGTTGTTTGCTTAACATCCAGTGACAAATATTTCTTGCATATTCAGGACGAAAAAAACTAGCAACGAAATAATTGGAGCCATCAATTTATAATCATTTAATTTAACTATTGAAATATATGCATTTGTCGTTTTTTATATAGACTAGACCGTTGGTTTTCCTGTTTGAATTGTTTTACACTAGTCCTTTTGGGGCCCTTTATAGCTTGCTGTTCGGTGTGAGCCAAGGCTCCGTGTTGAAGGCCGTACTTTGACCTATAATTGTTTACTTTTTACACATTGTGACTTGGATGAAGAGTTGTCTCATTGGCACTCATACCACATCTTCTTATTTCTATATAAAAGGAGTAGTGGCTTGTTTGTATATTAGACACCAATCCAACGAGATCATTTAACAGCTTTGATTCTAGCGCCACTGATGAGTGTCATGTACGACGAAACGCGCGTCTGGCGTGCCAAATTATAAGCTAGGTATAAAGGTCAACATACGTTCAACAATAGACAAGTGTCTTCACAATATTTGAATCTCTTAATCGTCTGGAGTCTCAACATTTGTGAGTAAGATTACGAGAGAACTACCATCAACACTAAACCCCCTAATGACAAACACATTAGGATATAACAAAAGACAACCACTGACGATGTTCCGGACTTACAGGCACATGAACATGTGGTAGGGTAAAACATGAAATCCCAGTGATAATAAAAGACAAATAAAGAACGGAACATTAAGACAGTATAGAAAAAAAACCATCTTAACTGTATTACAACGGTATTAAAAATAACGAAAACAGGTACAATAAACAAAGAATAGCAGCACTAAGTAGTATAAATGCTGACATGAAATGACTGCTTTAAAAGTTATTTTTTTATAAGTAGTCTGTTACGCATTTATATGTAAATCGATTGGAAATTTCTTCTTTTAATTTATTAGTAATAGGGAACATCTATTGCTCGACAACAGTTAAGACAATACGCCTATACATCCTGATCATGCTCGGTTGACCAAGAATGCCACATGTTTATTCTAGGAAACACCTGTTTAATCCCTAGACCTAAACTTAACTATTTAATGCCATGGAAGTAAAATGTAGAATACTTCCATGCTAATGCTAACTTCGAATACCATGTTACATTTTGGTCCTTAGTCGAACAAACAGCTGTTTCCCGCCAGTAAATTATTTTATTAATTATATACCTAGTAGGAAATCTTGTTTTATTCAACGTAATATATAATGCTTAATTTCGGGGCCTTTTATAACTGACTGTGCGGTATGGGCTTTGCTCATTGTTGAAGGCCGTACGGTGACCTATAGTTGTTAATTTCTGTGTCATTTGGTCTCTTGTGGAGAGATGTCTCATTGGCAATCATACCACATCTTCTTTTTTATATTAAAACTCTTTAATAATATCACTGAAATTAAATTGTAAATACTCAAAAGTCGTCATTAATATTTACTGAGTTATCCTAAATATGAACCTGCATGTTTTTTTTAAGCAATATAAAGATGGAACACATTTATCGACTACATTAAAAATCTACAAATATATTTTTCTCAATATTTAGTAAAACCGAAATAAAAATTCAGCATACTGTTTACTCAGAAACTTTGATGTCTACTTTATTGTTATGTGCATATCAGGGGTGTATCCAGAATTTTTGAAAGGGCGCGTAATTCAATAAAAAGATTTTTTTTTGGGGGGGAGGGGATTTTAGGCTAAAACTTATATAGTTTACACACCCACCCCCTAATCCGCGACTGAACCTCTTTGTATCAATTTCGTGTGTTACAAAGCTTTTGTTGATCTGTACAGAGGTTTCTTACCAATAAAAAAATAGAGAATATGTATGAGAGAGGATGGTGTGTTCTGAATGTTAATTTATGCCTATTTTCAAAGGTCAAATGGTGTGGTATCGATTCTTACTGTCACTGACGATCATATTTTGGCCTTTAGATGTCTTATATTGTTTTGATATAGTATTGTTGGATTATTGTCTCCCTGTCGACATGCCGCGGTCAAATCAACGCAGCCCCCCTTTTTTTTAACTTGAAACAAGCGTGTTTCTGTCGTTAGAGACGAAGCGAAAAAAAATGATATGCCACTTCCCTCGTTTTAGCATGTTGAGTGGTTTGGCAGTACAATAGAAACAGGTCTAAATATATTTTTCTTTATCTTTTTAGCAGAAAATGAAGCAGTTCCAGAGTCCATATGACGATGAAGAATGTCCTGTAGACCCTCCACAACCATCAGATACCTTGAATGAAGGAAATTGTGATTATTGTCTACAGACAGCAGAAAACAACAAGAGGGGCGAGCGGGAAGAATTTCTAGTCTGTAAAGATTGCAGTGCAAAAGGTAAGAAAACACACATAATAAAGCAGTATCTGCTTAAGTGTTATTCTATGTGTACTTTCTCATAGTGATCAAAATATTGTTTTAAAAATATGGACGTTATGTACTGCATCAGTTCAAACAATCAGGACCAATTATTGCCAGTCAAGCATGCAAGTAAGTAGCCAAAATATATTCATCGAATTGTTCTGTGAGGATGTAATTTCATCTGTGGAGTGCGGGGATTTTTTTTTATATCTTTCCTAATTATGTTACAAGTAAAAGTAGAATATTTTTTGAATCACTGCCTTTTTTGTAATAATTTTCCCTTTCCTTTTGAAATAAGAGTTGGTTTCAAAAACAACCAAATTACAAAGATTATTCGTTATTACATGCAACATGCACGTCACAAAAGCAAAACGCATGTGCAACATGTCATACTAGTAGTTGAAAATTATTTTTGCATGGATACGTACAGTTTGTTATATCATTTTTTAGCTCATCCAACCTGTATGGGATATTCGATTCTGCTATCTAGCAGAGCAAGACTGTATCCCTGGCAATGTATTGACTGTAAGACTTGTTGTCTGTGTTTGGATGCTAGTGATCCAGTAAGTATATCAGAGTTACACCTGAGGTTACCCCTGTTTTTACAGGGTTGCTTAATTTTTTCGTTTTTCGCCATGATCCTGTCGCTCTGTCTTAGACTTACGAGTTTCGATTTCCCCTTCGGTATCTTCGGTCTTTTTTTTATACAGAGGAACAATAGCAAGGTACGTGTATAACGCCGCATGGAAATAATTTTCATTCCGGAACTCTGATATCTTAATTCATATCAGTAAGTAAAATTACATTGAAAGCGTCTGTTGTTCTCATTTCTAAATGAAATTATGGGAAATTGAGAAAGTCTTAGGATGAACCGCTTAAACAACCGAGTCGCTTCTTAATTTATTTAGCAGCTGATAAAAAAGAACATTTCAACTAAAAACTGTAAACCAAACGTGATCCAAGAAGGGAATTTTCTATATCTCATTTGCAATCATACCTTTTTCGTCAAATATCATGTATCAGTAAACTCCTCATAGATATCATCATATTGGTTGTTGGGAGATATCGTAGGTGCTACTGTCAGGGTAATAATTAGATTGACCTCATCATAGATATCATCATATTGGTTGCTGTTTGGAGATATCGTAGGTGCTTCTGTCAGAGTTATATTCAGATTAAACTCATCATAGAAATCATCATATTGGTTGTTGGAGATATCGTAGGTGCTACTGTCAAGGTTATATTCAGATTAAACTCCTCATATATATCATCATATTTGTTGTTGGGAGATGTCGAAGTGCTACTGTCAGGGTTATATTTAGATTAAACTCATCGAAGATATCATCATATTGGTTGTTGTTGGGAGATATCGTAGGTGCTACTGTCAGGGTTATATTCAGATTAAATTTATCATAGATATCGTCATATTGGTTGTTGGGAGATATCGTGGGTGCTACTGTCAGGGTTATATTCCGATTGACCTCATCATAGATATCATCATATTGGTTGTTGGGAGATATCGTAAGTGCTATTGTCAGGCTTATTTTTAGATTAAACTCATCATAGAAATCATCATATTGGTTATTGAGGATATCGTAGGTGCTACTGTGAAGGTTATATTCAGATTAAACTCATCATAGATATCATCATATTGGTTGTTGTAGATATCGTAGGTGCTACTGTCAGGGTTATATTCAGATTGACCTCATCATAGATATCATCATATTGGTTGTTGGGAGATATCGTAGGTGCTACTGTCAGGGTTATATTTAGATTAAACTAATCATAGATATCATCATATTGGTTGTTGGGTGATATCGTGGGTGCTACTGTCAGGGTTATATTCAGATTGACCTCATCATATTATCATCATATTGGTTGTTTGGAGATATCGTAGGTGCTACTGTCAGGGTTATATTTAGATTAAACTCATCATAGATATCATCATATGGGTTGTTGTTGGGAGATATCGTAGATGCTACTGTCAAGGTTATATTCAGATTAAACTCATCATAGATATCATCATATTGGTTGTTGGGGGATATTGTGGGTGCTACTGTCAGGGTTATATTCAGATTAAACTCATCATAGATATCATCATATTGGTTGTTGGGAGATATCGTAGGTGCCACTGTCAGGGTTATATTCAGATTGACCTCATCATAGATATCATCATATTGGTTATTGGGAGATATCGTAGGTGCTACTGTCAGGCTTATATTCAGATTAAACTCATCATAGATATCATCATATTGGTTACGAGGATACCGTAGGTGCTACTGTGAAGGTTATATTCAAATTAAAATAATCATAGATATCATCATATTGGTTATTGGGAGATATCGTAAGTGCTACTGTCAGGGTTATATTCAGATTTAACTCATCATAGATATCATTATATTGGTTGTTGGAGATATCGTAGGTGCTACTGTCAATGTTATATTCAGATTAACTCATCATATATATCATCATATTGGTTGTTGGGAGATATCGTAGGTGCTACTGTCAGGGTTATATTCAGATTGACCTCATCATAGATATCACCATATTTGTTGTTGTTGGGAGATATCGTTTGTGCTACAGTCAGTGTTATATTCAGATTGACCTCATCATAGATTTCATCATATTGGTTGTTGGAGATATCGTAGGTGCTACTGTCAAGGTTATATTCAGATTGAAGTCATCATGGATATCATCATATTTGTTGTTGGGAGATATCGTAGGTGCTACTGTCAGGGTTATATTCAGATTGAACTTACCATAGATATCATCATTTTGGTTGTTGGAGATATCGTAGGTGCTACTGTCAAGGTTATATTCAGATTAAACTCATCATAGATATCATCATATTTGTTGTTGGGATATATCGTAGATGCTACTGTCAAGGCTATATTCAGATTAAACTCCTCATAGATATCATCATATTGGTTTTTGTTGGAGATATGACAGGTGCTACTGTCAGGGTTATATTCAGATTAAACTTACCATAGATATCATCATTTTGGTTGTTGGAGATATCGTAGGTGCTACTGTCAAGGTTATATTCAGATTAAACTCATCATAGATATCATCATATTTGTTGTTGGGAGATATCGTAGGTGCTACTGTCAGGGTTATATTCAGATTGACCTCATCATATTATCATCATATTGGTTGTTTGGAGATATCGTAGGTGCTACTGTCAGGGTTATATTTAGATTAAACTCATCATAGATATCATCATATGGGTTGTTGTTGGGAGATATCGTAGATGCTACTGTCAAGGTTATATTCAGATTAAACTCATCATAGATATCATCATATTGGTTGTTGGGGGATATTGTGGGTGCTACTGTCAGGGTTATATTCAGATTAAACTCATCATAGATATCATCATATTGGTTGTTGGGAGATATCGTAGGTGCCACTGTCAGGGTTATATTCAGATTGACCTCATCATAGATATCATCATATTGGTTATTGGGAGATATCGTAGGTGCTACTGTCAGGCTTATATTCAGATTAAACTCATCATAGATATCATCATATTGGTTACGAGGATACCGTAGGTGCTACTGTGAAGGTTATATTCAAATTAAAATAATCATAGATATCATCATATTGGTTATTGGGAGATATCGTAAGTGCTACTGTCAGGGTTATATTCAGATTTAACTCATCATAGATATCATTATATTGGTTGTTGGAGATATCGTAGGTGCTACTGTCAATGTTATATTCAGATTAACTCATCATATATATCATCATATTGGTTGTTGGGAGATATCGTAGGTGCTACTGTCAGGGTTATATTCAGATTGACCTCATCATAGATATCACCATATTTGTTGTTGTTGGGAGATATCGTTTGTGCTACAGTCAGTGTTATATTCAGATTGACCTCATCATAGATTTCATCATATTGGTTGTTGGAGATATCGTAGGTGCTACTGTCAAGGTTATATTCAGATTGAAGTCATCATGGATATCATCATATTTGTTGTTGGGAGATATCGTAGGTGCTACTGTCAGGGTTATATTCAGATTGAACTTACCATAGATATCATCATTTTGGTTGTTGGAGATATCGTAGGTGCTACTGTCAAGGTTATATTCAGATTAAACTCATCATAGATATCATCATATTTGTTGTTGGGATATATCGTAGATGCTACTGTCAAGGCTATATTCAGATTAAACTCCTCATAGATATCATCACATTGGTTTTTGTTGGAGATATGATAGGTGCTACTGTCAGGGTTATATTCAGATTAAACTTACCATAGATATCATCATTTTGGTTGTTGGAGATATCGTAGGTGCTACTGTCAAGGTTATATTCAGATTAAACTCATCATAGATATCATCATATTTGTTGTTGGGAGATATCGTAGGTGCTACTGTCAGGGTTATATTCAGATTAAACTCATCATAGATATCATCATATTGGTTATTGAGGATATCGTAGGTGCTACTGTGAAGGTTATATTCAGATTAAAATCATCATAGATATCATCGTATTGGTTGTTGGGAGATATCGTAGGTGCTACTGTCAGGGTAATAATTAGATTGACCTCATCATAGATATCATCATATTGGTTGCTGTTGGGAGATATCGTAGGTGCTTCTGTCAGGGTTATATTCAGATTAAACTCATCATAGATATCACCATATTGGTTGTTGGAGATATCGTAGATGCTACTGTCAAGGCTATATTCAGATTAAACTCCTCATAGATATCATCATATTGGTTGTTGGGAGATATTGTAGGTGCTACTGTCAGGGTTATATTCAGATTAAACTCACCATAGATTTCATCATATTGGTTGTTGGAGATATCGTAGGTGCTACTGTGAAGGTTATATTCAAATTAAAATAATCATAGATATCATCATATTGGTTATTGGGAGATATCGTAAGTGCTACTGTCAGGGTTATATTCAGATTTAACTCATCATAGATATCATCATATTGGTTGTTGGGGGATATTGTGGGTGCTACTGTCAGGGTTATATTCAGATTAAACTCATCATAGATATCATCATATTGGTTGTTGGGAGATATCGTAGGTGCCACTGTCAGGGTTATATTCAGATTGACCTCATCATAGATATCATCATATTGGTTATTGGGAGATATCGTAGGTGCTACTGTCAGGCTTATATTCAGATTAAACTCATCATAGATATCATCATATTGGTTACGAGGATACCGTAGGTGCTACTGTGAAGGTTATATTCAAATTAAAATAATCATAGATATCATCATATTGGTTATTGGGAGATATCGTAAGTGCTACTGTCAGGGTTATATTCAGATTTAACTCATCATAGATATCATTATATTGGTTGTTGGAGATATCGTAGGTGCTACTGTCAATGTTATATTCAGATTAACTCATCATATATATCATCATATTGGTTGTTGGGAGATATCGTAGGTGCTACTGTCAGGGTTATATTCAGATTGACCTCATCATAGATATCACCATATTTGTTGTTGTTGGGAGATATCGTTTGTGCTACAGTCAGTGTTATATTCAGATTGACCTCATCATAGATTTCATCATATTGGTTGTTGGAGA